GGGAAAAGTTCAGAAATTTTCGACAAGTTTCAAATATTAGACAATCTAGATTTTATTTACTCGAGTTTTTTGAAAATATTTCACAGAACTTGTAACCTCTGATATTAACTTAGAGTCAATACAGAACTTGATGGTTGCTTGGAGAGGGGTCGCTAGAGAGGGGGTCAATACAGAACTTGATGGTTGCTTGGAGATGGGTCGCAAGAGAGGGGGTCAATACAGAACTTGATGGTTGCTTGGAGAGGGGTCGCTAGAGAGGGGGTCAATACCGAACTTGATGGTTGCTTGGAGAGGGGTCGCTAGAGAGGGTGTCAATACAGAACTTGATGGTTGCTTGGAGAGGGGTCGCTAGAGAGGGGGTCAATACACAGCTTGATGGTTGCTTGGAGAGGGGTCGCTAGAGAGGGTGTCAATGCAGATCTTGATGGTTGCTTGGAGAGGGGTCGCTAGAGTGGGGTTCAATACAGAACTTGATGGTTGCTTGGAGAGGGGTCGCTAGAGAGGGGGGTCAATACAGAACTTGATGGTTGCTTGGAGAGGTGTCTCTAGAGAGGGGGTCAATACAGAACTTGATGGTTGCTTGGAGAGGGGTCGCTAGAGAGAGGGTCAATACAGAACTTGTTGGTTGCTTGGAGAGGGGTGTTTTAATTGGGAAGAATTGATTACGGCAGCCAAAAACGTGTGTAGGTCAAAATAAAATACACGTGGTTAAAATTTGATCTCATCAGGGAAACAGGGCACGATTGATTACAGTCATTGGTCGAATCAGGCACCCTATGTATCACACTTACACTTCTATGAAACAGTTCAGTTCATTCCACTATCAGAGATATAAATAATGTACACTCTACACTGTTTCCTGCAATCAGCATTCGATTAAATGAAATTTTCAAAGCTTTGATTTGGTTTCTATAAACACTATATATTATTAATCTAGTTGTCTAATCTCGCGCTTTACAGGGGAATTCCCTCGGGATTCCTATTCCATTCTATAAATAGATCAAGGAATCACCAAGTCTAACGTTCGTGTTTGTATGAATTATTCATACGCCGGCTTCTAATTAACATTTGCTGCTGTAAAATAGATCTTTCCGCATGGCACGCAACATAATATAGCAACAAGGGACAATAGTCCATCCATTCTGACGACAATACACTGACATTGTGTCCAATTTGCTTCTCGGTAGCAAGCAGCATCAATGTTGGAGCAGGATAATAAGTAAATATTGGACTTTCAACTACATTGTACTAGAATTTGGTTAACCCCAAGAGCACTGGCGATTGGAAAATCACTAATTTCCATCAGATGCTTCCAGATGCTTTCAGTCGACCTACGTTGTCTATTGTAGATGTTATCGAGCCTTTAATTCGTTATGAGCCATAAACTGTGACGCTCTGTGGCTCTCTTGACAAGATTTGCTGAAACGTTCATCGAACATTTTGAAGAATCTCAATTAAATAACAACCTAATCTTTAACATGAAATAAATATTGCAATCGTAAATACTTATCTAGACCAAATTTAACTTTTAATTTGATCCGTTTTGATATTTTTATAGGGACTATCTTGCCTTTTTGAGGATATGGTATGACCAATTTTAGGTTCGTGTTGCCAGGGATTTGTTTGACAATAACCCAGTTCAGTGACGTGGGTGTTAAACTGATCAAATTAGGTTTCCTACAAGTTGGTTCTGGCAGTAAAAAACGACAGATTGCGATAGAAAACAGACCTGGTTAGATATCGTGTGAGTGTAAGCGAGTGGTCAGTGTAATTTCATTAGGACTCAATCAATAATAGATGATATTTCAGCAATTCAGCTAAAAGTAAGCACACTTGGTACCCTTGGGAAAAACAATGGTTTAATGGTTAGAGTCGCCTCGACGCCGGAATGATAGGCTGATAACACGATAGATCATTTATTGTTAATGGTTCAATTCCAGAACCGTGAAATGAACTTTAAAGTTATTTTTCTGATATTAGTTTAACCTTTTGTAAATGTAATTGTAGTTTTGATGTTATCTTTGAAAGCGGTTTTAAGTGTCGATTTTTTGGGAATCCGAATGCACACATTTTTCGGCATAATTTAATGTATCTGCAGAAGTTTCCTACTGCAATTTAGGACTATCGTCCTTCCAGACAGCTGGTCTATTTCAGTCTTTCATGCCATTCGACCCGACCGATTTCTAAATACCAAACGAACGGTACCAAACCATCAAATTGACAAAGATCCTACCACCCAGTCACAATGGTTCAACTAAAGCCAATGGGAGCCCGCGATCTGAAGTGATCTCCTGCATTATGAGACCCCTCTGTAAGTCAATTTAATGGAAGATTTAAACATTTTCAAACCTTAAGTTAATGCTATTTCACTCTTTCACATATATTGCTGGTTGTTTAGTATGATTATAATTATATGCTTTGGTACATTTTTTCAGGAGGTGGGGCCGGTGGACTCGAATCAACCAGTTCTTTTGTCACTGTCTAGTCTGCGGTCAGTTAACTGGAGGCGAATACATTCGTACTATCCATAAATTTATCTATCCACCCTATCACTGTAATGTTGGTGGTATTTAAATCCAATATTTATTGCGGATTTCACACACCACAGAAAGCAATTACTTCCTCATTATTCAGACTTGTTGTCAATAAGATTACCTCCCTTTTACTTGCCTATTATTACCACTGATTTCTTAGTCTTTATTTAGTCACTACCTACCAGTCTTCTTTTAGAGACCCGTTCTTAATTTACATCTAGTATAGCTATTAATAAGTGACTTTGTTGTACTTACAGTTCACAATCTCATCGTTCAGTAACTAGTCATCTTCACAATGTCAATCTATTACGAACTGTGTTTTATACCTTGACTGCAATAGCCACCTTTCTTGTATCACGGAAATTCGTAAATGCAGCGATTTCGATTGGATCGTAAGTTACCAAAAATACAGCCAAGTATAGCCCCCGATTCCATGCGCTTCCAAATCGAGGGCTTTGTTTTTTTTATGTTACTTGAATAACTTACAAATGAAATGTCACCTCACTCAGAGAATTCTGGCCTTGTACTAAGTAGTACCGAAAAGCAGGAGAAGTCTTAAATACTCAAATCGCTTCAGGGGCACAGACGTTGACTTAATACTTCAGAGAGTAGGCCTACTGGATGTTCCCAGCTAGACAGTCAATATTGCTTTTGATCTTGAACACCCCACCAACACGAGGACTGGATGATATGGCTACAGGCGTATTTCTGAGTATTTTTCAGGAATGAGATAATATAGGGGTTGTAGTAGCGAAGATATATGTAAAGGCTGCCTCTATGTAACGAGATGATAGACATACCTTGAATTTCCAAAGAGAGTAACGAGTAAATGTGGGCACGGGTCAGTGCTAACGCAGCGATCTGACGCATTGCGGATCCTTGATCGAGAGAATATTCCTAAGGCTGCGAGGCTGCCATATTTCCAATGACGGCAAATTTTGTTCTCTGGGTGTACATACATTTAAATACTGCAGGAGGGTGGGGCCTTTGTCCCCATTTAAGACAGATATACCGAACGCATGTCTATTACTAAGCGTATTTCCTCAGTTCGACAATGGCTCTCTAGAATAATTAAGAAACAAAATCTAATAAAACCTCGGTCCTCATTAAATACGATTTCTTTAACAGATGAGTTGGATGGAAGGCAAATCAACTCTGTACAAGTCCTAATTAAATCAAGTATGGAATGAATACTCGGCAATCATTCCAAGTTGGCAAACAAATTTTACTATCGTGAAGAGTAAATTAAATCTTCGAGCACTCCAGCAGGTTTAAGTTGACACCTGTGTCCCCAGTCCAACATGATTAGGTCGGGTAGTTGACCCCGAAGGAGAATCAGAACGATATTACTTTTTATTCTGTCGTGGTACTTGAGTTCTTAAATTAATATTGCTTGGTTTTTGGTTCTCCTTTCGAGGAATGAATTATACTCGGAAAAATTCTTTCATTCTATGTTTGCATTGTTTCATAATATAGGGACTGTAGAGAGATTTTCTAAACTTGTTGTGTGTATCGGAGACACTAATATCACGATTTGCACCATTCAAATTTGAATCAGACGACTGTGGATTTTGTAATTCCAATAAAACTAAGCGTATGGGGCACATTGTCATTGAGTGTTAAAATCGAAAATAAATAATTTTTATTGGTACTTTCCAAAATAAATTTGACTCGTTACCCTCCAGAAATGGGGTATATCATGACTTATTAGTCCTCTTTTTAGGTCCTCAAGGTATAGGTCTAACTACTGCTTTCCGTTTAAGTATCGATTTAAAAAATAAATCTGTACTTTTAGCTTTCATTTAATTGGTTCCTTGGTGAAGATTTAGTTTCAGTTGGAGAGTCTTGTGACGGCGCAAAAAAATCTTTTGTGTTTCAATTTTTCACTTTTAATTAACCTACAGTGATGTTCAAGTTTAAACCTAGTGAGCATGATTCCAACCCCTGTCACCCGATGGACAGATCCCCGGGCTGCCACCACTGTCAGTAAAATAACTTGCCATAGCCGACATATAGATTTGAACTAATAATACATTATGGCGTGACTTCAATCCCATATTGCTGATTCTGATCCAGCCCCCCCCCCCCTCCTCCAACATTTCTTCTTTGTGACCACTGTAACCCAATTTCATTATTTCAAAGATCAGGCAACATTGTCATTTGTCACAAGGTTTGATTCTATCGTCTGCCATGACGTCAGGGACATAGCAACGCGATAAAATATATCACCATTGTGTTTAATGACACATACAAATGGAAAATCACAGGATAAAAGCTGGTTTTGTCTGGGCCTATTATTTTTTTGGAAGTTGATCTTTCTGAAGTACTTACTATCTAATGTACGGTACAATCAAACTTACAAAAGTTGCTGTATTGGAGACGATAATTTTCATTCCTCGCCATCAATAGCGTGTGCAAGGTCTAAGTTACATGTAGGCTTACTGTACTCAGATGTCAGATAACTATATGACTGTTGAACTCTGTCAGATGTTGGTTGAACTCTGTCGGATGGCGGTTGAACTATGTCAGACGACCGTTGAACCAAGTCAGATAGCGGTTGAACTTTGCCTTATAGCGGATGAACTCTGTCAGAAGTTAGTTGAACTCTGTCAGACGATGGTTGAACTAGGCCCTATGTCAGACGACGGTTGAACTCTGTCAGACGACCGTTGAACTAGGCCCTATGTCAGACGACCGTTGAACTATGTCAGACGACGGTTGAACTATGTCAGATAGCGATTGAACTCTGTCAGATAGACTGGCGTAATGGCGTCCACGAAATCGTTGCATTGGTGAATATAATTCTTCCTTGGTCAAAGATATTTAATTTTCAATTTACGGTTTGAACTTTCGTAAAGATTTTAGCTCTGTATAGCTCCTGTATAGTTTCTCAAGTGCATGGAAGCCAAACAATATTGAGGACTGACAAATAATAGAGTAAGAATTTGAGTACTTTGAGAAAAAAGGAATCCCCAAAGAAAGAGGTCAAATAAAACCAGAAAAAGTCGTGGGTGCGACTAAGGATGAATTCGATTTTAGACGTAAGAAGAGAACCGGGAAAGAGATAAAGAAAGGTTGAGGAATTTTTCAAGTGACAGAATGATGGATCTGTCTCGCTTCAATATGTTCTAGTTTAATTCAATTTATCTTCCTTTTAACTGAAAATATAGTTCAAAGAAAGTTTTAAAATCTGTATTCAATCCACGAAAGATAAAGACTGTTTGTATTGTAAGATTGTTATAGCCAGACTTTTAGAGTATCAATTCATGAACATTTCGAGAATTCCGTATCACTATCAGCGTTTTTCTGATCCACACGATAAAGTGCATTGCTGTAAATATTCACAATCCAGCTCATGTGTTCATCGTATTTGTTATGCCACATGTGACTCAGTGAGTTTGCAGGGTTCAATGCCGACAAAGGTCGAGATAATACCTTGGAAAAATACATGGAAAAAAATGCGTCTAGTCGTTCGGATGGGACAATAAACCGAGGATAATACCGCTGTCCTGGCAAACTTTCCCTTATTGCACCCTGCATAGCGTTGCTAGTCTTCATTAGCCACATGGTGCAGAAAATAAGGACATAAAACTCGTCATTTTCTACTTGTACCGGTGATCGTTTTGATACATCGTGGTAATTTATGGCTATTACTCAGACCGAGTTCATGGTGTGGATTTTTTTTAAGTAAAACAGTCGGTGGCTCAATCGCCATAGGGTACGGTTGAACTAAGTCAACCCCTCAACCCCCTCTTCCAGGAAACAAATGTACCAAACTATAATTATAAGGCTGAATTACGTATATTAGTCGAACCCAGTCTGTTCATTTCCTTTTAAGTATTTTTGATCCACGGTTGCTTTGATACATCGCTGTAGTTTATGGCCATTAGTCAGACCCATAAAGCCTATTAAAGCTGGTAGAAGTTCTCCATCACCTCTAAGTGCTCATATCAATTTAAGTGAAAGCCAAATATGTTCCGCTTTCTGGTTTATACTTTCTCGTATAAATCACACTAAATGTTATAATGGAGAATCGCAGAGACGCGAGTAGATTCTTCTCTCCTGGGAGATGAAAATATATCCCGAACTATTGACTGTGTTTGCCTCAAGGGACCACCCGTCTTAAATAATATTTCTGTTCCACTGAAGGGGCGGGACATTTAATGGAACCTTGCCAAAGACGACGGTAAAAGTCTTCTTACAAGATTAGGGAAAATAAACCAATTCCAAGTTATTAAGTATCTGGAATCTTTATACTGAGAATTAGATAATTGCTATTTGCGGGAATAACAAACAGTTTTGTTTTCAGTTTTCTGAATTTAGTCCATGAAGCCTCAAAATCGTTGCTTTGATGACTAAAGAATATTGATGAATAAAGAATTCTGAATATTTTCCATATAAAATATTAAAGAGATACCTAAACGCATTCCATATCCACACCCACTTGCTTGATAGGATCGTTTATTGGCAATTACTTGTGCATAGGGATACTACAAAATCAATCTATATTCTTATTAACATTGACCCGTTCCTTTTCAATTAATTATGGCATTTCGATTCTAATCCAACGAATATTCTTTAAACTTGGGTACAATCAATCTGACGTACTATCAACTGGGTGGTGGAATCCTCCGATCCAGTTTTTTTCAGAAAGAATATTTACAGCAGCTTATAGTAGCTGAGATTTTCTGTGATTCCCTGGTCGACTCAAACCAATGATTGGCCCGATTCTCTAAAAGCCGGTAGTTGTTGAATATCGAGAATCCCGCTGATATTAGATTCGGTCATTCGTAAGGGATTCATTTTTTCCTATGAGTGCACCTTCTTTGTTTTTTCATCTTTATCTTCGCTTTCCCAAATAAAATCATCAGGTAGGCGGCTAGTTTTAGTCTTTAACTGACCGCTTCCATCATTTCCTTACCCCTCACATGCTATAGATTGGCTTGTTAAAAATTCTTCCATATTCTAATGACTGTGCCACATTATTTTGAATACTTTTATTCTTTAAGAGGTTAACTTTTCCCGATCCTTTGCATGCTTGACTTATTATGAAATAATATTCCACATTTTGCCAAGTACAAGTTTTTGCTTTGACTGATGTTCAGATCGATATCCTTCATATAAAATTTAGTAAAAGAAGTTCTCTAAATCCCTAAAGCTGGCAGTTTTGTTGCGACAATTAGCATAAAGAAAAGTTGGCAAGAAAAAAGAAGAAAGTTGGAAATGATTGATTCGGGATCAAATTATTGACATTCGTCACCAACCAAACAAAATACACTGTGTCCAGAATGAGAAAGTAAAAATTATTTCCCTGAACCAGGCTTTCTAAGTGAGTTGTTTTTTCTGAATATTGAATTACGGAGAAAATCGACAAAATGTCTTCCCATCGCGCCATTCTAGTAATTTTCGTCTCTAGAACTAAAAACGCATAGAATCTCATAATTAAAAACTTATAAATTGTTCTCCCATCGCGCCATTCTGAATATTTTCGTATCTAAAACCATAACTTTTAAATTGTTCTCCCATCGCGCCATTCTGAATATTTTCGTGTCTAAAACTAAAACTTATAAATTGTTCTCCCATCGCAACATTCTGAATATTTTCGTGTCTAAAACCATAACTTATAAATTGTTCTCCCATCGCAACATTCTGAATATTTTCGTGTCTAAAACCATAACTTATATATTGTTCTCCCATCGCAACATTCTGAATATTTTCGTGTCTAAAACTAAAACTTAGAAAAGGTTCTCCCGTCGCAACATTCTGAATATTTTCGTGTCTAAAACCATAACTTATATATTGTTCTCCCATCGCAACATTCTGAATATTTTCGTGTCTAAAACTAAAACTTAGAAAAGGTTCTCCCATCGCAACATTCTGAATATTTTCGTGTCTAAAACTAAAACTTAGAAAAGGTTCTCCCGTCGCAACATTCTGGATATTTTCGTGTCTAAAACTAAAACTTAGAAAAGGTTCTCCCATCGCAACATTCTGAATATTTTCGTGTCTAAAACTAAAACTTATATATTGTTCTCCCATCGCAACATTCTGAATATTTTCGTGTCTAAAACTAAAACTTAGAAAAGGTTCTCCCGTCGCAACATTCTGGATATTTTCGTGTCTAAAACTAAAACTTAGAAAAGGTTCTCCCGTCGCAACATTCTGGATATTTTCTACAAAAGTAATTCAAAAGGGGATTTTAATGAAGTTTTCCAGTGTATAGGATACACTGATAGCATTGATTTGCGCCATTCCAATTTTCAGTTATTATAGCAATACTCAACCGTATATGAGGTCACTATCACAAACGCTGCTATATGATATCTAATTTAGTTTTAGTGGAATTGCAAGAACCTCAGATGTCTAATTGAAAATTGATACAGATAAAATCTTTCGAAAACCTCTTAACGATCACTTTAAGCCGGTTCATCATCGAAACCTTTCTCGTTACAATCATGTGACATCGGAAACAACAAGCTCTTTTCTTCACCGATTGTAACCTACATGGCTTAAGGACAGTGGAATTATTTTGACTGCGTAATTCTTGGGATAATTCGGTTATAACCTTCCTCGCAGCAATTCAACATTTTGATTAAAAAAAAATCTTAGATAAGCGTATGGCGGGAAGGTTTAACCTTTTGGAAAATTGAAAAACAAATTCTTTTTAAAGGGAATTCATCCCTAAGATTTTTAATTATAAACCTTCTGAATTTCTGTTCACTTTGTTTCACGAATAAAAAGCAATTCAGATTCAATAACTTCTTCGTTATTCTATTATTTTATATTTCATACATCAGAGATAACGCCCACTTTCAAAATGTTTTTGTTTCACGAGCCACGTGTCGGTAGCATGAGGTGAGTTCAGAACATTGACTGAATAATCCAACGATCAAACAAATCAGAACATGCAAGTAAAATCATTAAGAAATTGCAACTTATAAAAGCATATATATTTCTGAAGTCGGAAGAATGACACACTGTGTGTATTGCAGTGACTTTAAAGAAACATAGAATGTCAATTTCTGGTAGATTTTATGATTGACTTGCGCGCGCATCAGTAGTAGCGCAGAAAATGCACAGATACAGTATTGTGTAACATTGCACACGGTTATGGGTTGAATCTTTTGCTGCCTTGGCGTTATTGCCCAAGGTTATGGTGGCCGCTGTGTTATATTTGACCCAGTGACCCATTTACACCATGATGAACATTGGAGAGTGGGTTGCTGATCGGATTACCTCGAGTCTCGCTTTAATCATAAAAAATTAGTCTTTGGACTGACGATATCACCCAGAACCAAATGTCTAATTCCACACACGCTACTTTTAAATTCAACTTTCAGGCAGGATCGAGACATTTTAAAAATATTTTATTTTTACGAGTTTGTCAATGGAGCTTACCCACAAAAAGTCTGCATTTCTATTGTTATCTGATCTTTTAATTGAAGAAACCATTAAAACTGATATAAAAAAAAGTACTAACGATCCGAACCGCAAAACAAAACCCGAAATCCAAAACAACATTTTGATGAAATACGGGTGGCAGCTAATGAACTTTTCACACGAGGAAGTAGATCAATAATAAGTAAGTATTTCATAATGAAAAGTGGTATAAAGTGGTTTGAACAGAAGAGTAAGACAGTCGATTTTTTTTCGTAAGGTCTTCGATGGATTTTGGATTTCAGCTACTGACAACCGTCAACTCCAAAATGTATCATCCGGTTTGAACTGTATCTGCCTGTGTTTATCACCGCTTACAATGAAAGTTTGGTGTTGTCTAAATTGTACACGAAAGGTAGTCAAGTAGAAAGGATTCGATGTAAATGTATTTTAACAAAAAGCGGAAATTAAGACACTAAAAGCAGTAAATTTCTTCTGCCTTTTAGATTGGTTATTCATCACGACAGGAAGTGACGTTATAAAAACACGTCAAATTGGTGATGAGGTCTTGAATTGTGTTTGATCAAGCTCGTGATTAGATTCGAAGCCAAGTTAAACGATATTATTTGGGGCTCTATTCTAAGGCTGAAATTATCGTGGAATTGTTCGTCAACTTGATGCGGTTATTGATGGAATTTCCGGATGAGTTGCCTGATGTCTCCATATAATGGTACCGCTGGTCAAGACTAGAAGCTTTATTATCACTAGAAATCACATGGTTGGTGATGGATTAAGGAAAAAGCTCTTCCCTAGCTTTATACGAATTTCCTTTGTGTAGGGAATAAAGCTGACCCGTTTTTCAGGCGATGAAAAATAAAACTTACTTATACTCTACAATGGAGTCACCAACCACAAACACGAAATGAAACTTTCAGATTTTCATCCATAATTATTTGCAAAAATTCATACCAAACACTCACAAGTGACGTGACACTCTTCAGCTGTATCATATAAGAGGGGGGGCGGGGGGAGGTGCAACTAGATTTCATCCTAAAGCAGTGGTTCTATCCAAATTAATTTTCCAACCTAGAGGATTTTGAACTCACCTTGCTCCAGTGACAAGTGGTTATAGTCATAATGGAAGAAAGATGTGCAAAACTTAGAAGTGCCATGACCCTGTATATCATCAAATAATCGGTCACGACAGGAAAGGGCTGTCAAATGTTGAATAACAAGTCCACGGTAAGTGTTTCCGGTGAAGTGGTTCGGTGTTTACTGACACAAGAAGATTTTAAAAGTTTTTTTATGTTATGGCCGCCGGGGTTTGGTCTAACCCCATTAAATCTAATTCACCAACGAGTCTTTATTTTGATTGCGTCTGAGTCATTCTGGTTTTGTACCATTAAGTTCTTAAAACCTTTTACCACTTGCTAGTCGTTTTTTTTTTTTAGGTTAAACCAAAACGGAAATGAAAGAAAAAGTGAGTTTCGAATTCAGAATCCAAGAAAAAACGTCATAAAACAAAATAGGATGTTCTTGCATTCATTTTGTGGAGGGCGGTGGGGATGGGGGAAGGGGGGGGGGGGGTGATGCTGAGTAAAAAGCATCTATTTGAACCCTGTGTACTATTGGCTGCAACTGTACATGTTAAAGATCCTCATTGCGCATTGCACTATGATGTTCGTCTTCATTAGCCTAATCGGGTGCAGACGTCTTCATTACAAGGTGTTGTTCATTTCTGAAATTTAACGTTTAGTGTATCTTAAAGTGCATCTTCAATATATCAAGCTACTACAAACAGCAACTTATTAGACGCTGTTCGCAATAGCTTGACATTGTGAAGAACTTAATAGTGCTATCATCAATGAATCGTTTGTGACAAGTAAGATTTAGCTTCACATGACATTTTAAATTAACTGACTTTTTTTCTCGAAAAAGTAGAAATTGGAAGACAAAATTCTCTCCAGATTTATTTCGTTCCAGGAATTGATAATGACGGAACCAAATGAAGAAAGATAGATTCCTGTTTTTACTCGGAACTTACAGAACAGATCAGTTCTGGTTAGTATCAGAATGGAACACTCGCAACTTTCGGCATTTTGTATTCCAGAAAATATGTTGGTGCTACGTGATGTTAAGTATCGGAATGGATGGTTCGGGAATAAAATCAAGAGATTTGGAATCCACACGATTTAATGTCGTCTTACGCATCTTCGGCTTGCAACCTAGTTTCCTAAGAATCGAGCTAGCCCACAGATTTGTGGTTTGTGGGTTTTTTTTGCAATCCATGGTTTACTAGAATCTTATCAGTCTACAGAATCCTGCTAATGTGAAGTCTTTAAACAACAAAAAAACTTCTAATTCTACTACCTATCGACGGAGCGACCCAACCGGATGCCCGTTATTGTAATTGATGTCACTACAAAATGTCATTTAATCTTATTTAGATGAGTATGTACCTTTAATTCCCTCCGAGAATCTCAGAATCTTCAAGCACCCGAATATAATTCTCTTTTCTATCTCGAGGATAAATTGGAAACATGGTTTTAAGCCGGGATGAATTGAGTTAGTCAACGGTGGACAAACAGACCGTCATATACAGCCAGTAATTCTGTTTACATTAAACATTGGATGTTCGAGTCTACAAGGTGGACAAAACGTGTCTTAGATTAAAATCAACATCATTCATCTCGATTGTCCGGACACTTCAGATTTGAAGATAAACATCCTAATTTCCGGACGTTCAAGTTTCCAAATGACATTAAAAGATTTCTGGATTTTTAATCTCTCCGATCAAAAGGATCTCTGGCTTGAACTTCGTTACTGCACAAAAATTTCAAACAAGATATTCTTGTCGGCGGGGCAAGAGGATGATAAAATTTTGGACTGACAACGACGAAATATCTGAGATTGCCCGAATTTCTAACCTAATTATGACATTTTTGCCCGAAAAACTTGGTTTCTGCCCCCTTTGGCTCCGCCACTACCCCATGTTGAATCAAATATTCTTTCTGATCTTGCTGAGAAAAACAATAATTCAGACATCAAAAGTGTCTAAAAGGAACGGACTATATTTGGATAATCTAGACTATCTGACATCTCGAGAGTCATTTCGATCTGAAAGTTGTAATTGGTGAGAGTATATTCTGGGCGAGAGAAGAACGTGAGGTGGATTTAGATAATTTAATCTTGGGGATAATTTCTACTCTGTATGGAAAATGTCGCCTTCAATTGTTAAGACAATAGCTGCCTTCTACAGCAGTCCTCTGATAAATATTGTTAATTACTTCCCTTGTTATTCCGAACCTCCGTACTCTGATGAGCTGACGAGCCGCCACCTTGTTATCATCTTACGTCGTACAGTATTTTGCAAGGAATGGCGTTGCCGTCTCTAATAGAAACTGATGAGCCGCTATCTTGTTATTATCTTGTTATTAAGGAATGGCGTTGCCGTCTCTAATAGAAACTGATGAGCCGCCACCTTGTTATCATCTTACGTCGTACAGTATTTTGCAAGGAATGGCGTTGCCATCTCTAATAAAAACTGATGAGCCGCTATCTTGTTATTATCTTGTTATTAAGGAATGGCGTTGCCGTCTCTAATAGAAACTGATGAGCCGCCACCTTGTTATCATCTTACGTCGCACAGTATTTTGCAAGGAATGGCGTTGCCGTCTCTAATAGAAACTGATGAGCCGCCATCATGTTAGGTTATTATCTTACAGTTTACAGTATTTTATAGCTGTTTAAAGCAGGGAATGAAATGAGTTTGGTGCCAAGGAGATATATTCTCCGCTATAATTTCACGGTATTTCCTTCACCTCCATAAATCACTGTTAACGGGGAGAGTTTTTAGTAAAATATTAAAACACAGCAGTTAAATTCGAGTTGGTTAAGTATAGTTTGCGATTAAAGGAATCCAGCCGTCAAATCCAAAATAACCCAAATTTTTGCTCTCGAGACTTCGAGAGGTCTGGTGGATTCCTTCAGGAGTCTAACACTTGGGTGATTTTTAATGAGAATTAAAACATTGGCAGTGAAATGCAAGGGATACGAGTAAGTTCAGTTAACGATTAAAGGAATAAAGTTCTCTAAATAAACAAGAACCTTAACTTGAATTTAAGCTCTCGTAGCTCAAAAGGAGAAAGCTTAGCCTTCTGTTTCCCTTCAAACGTGGACAATATTGGGACAGTTCTAGCGAACATTGCCTGTGAGACTTGGGAATATTCTGCAGTAGAAGAGATGAGAATGAGACGTTATAGATGACCAGCCTCTGTCCAGGTGATGCAGGACGATATCCATCGTTTATTTAACTCCATGATCTAACTCGATCAGGGATGGCTCGATTTTAATTGGAAGATATAGAGTAAGACCATAGGGACTTGAGTAAAGAAGATATATAGCCAGTCTAATGGATTAGGTCGCGGTTTTCTCTATTTGTCACAAAATTTATCTAAAGAAATCGAGTCCCTAGAGAGAGTAGAAATAAGAGTTATAAAATAGTCCGATTTATCCACATTAATTTAATATCTTTCTTCAGCTTTCACAGCTCGTTTTTTATATTCGCTATTATTCACTTTGAAAGAAAACTGTTAGTTTGACAAGGGTATTACAAACATTTACAGGAATATAAATCTGTTTTGTTCCCTCGTCATCATCTCATCAAAATGTCTATTCAAATCTAACATGTTTCACTTAAATAAGTTAACCTCATATTGGGAACTGGGTACTAAATATTCATGAGATTCGATTTCAATACGGTTAATCAGCACGCTTCTACAATGGTCTGTTTGCTTGGATAACTTTCAGAGCCTCATAGGAAACCATTTGGATAAGGTAAAACAAGGTGTGTTTAATAATAAGGGAGTATGGTTTTAAAAGGCGATGGTTTCACCATAGGATTAATAGTACTTCAAACCACGCAAGGCAGAATGTGCTTTGCACAATGATAGTTTTCTGAATTTATAAAATCATGTAATATGGGAATTATCTGCCCTTACAAAATGGCGGCTGTCAAATAGGGCCTATAAATTGTTGCTGAACACGAAAGATTGTTTACGGACATTAAGGGTTAAAAAGATCTTGACCCTTAGAATTTTTTCCAGACAACGTCAGAGCTTTATTAATGGCGTAAGGTACATAGGGTCGAAATATTCGCGACCTCCCCTCTTTAATTCCGTTTTCACTGATCATTTTAAACACTCGGTTGTCATTTTAGATGATTTCTATCAAAATCTTCATCAATTTTTGTCTGTTGCCTTATCAAAGTTTTCCCTTAAACTTGGTAAAAGTTAACCCTTTCCTTTTTCACTTTCGACGTTTGACTGAAAATTGGAATGGTGCAATACGATGCTAACAGTTTCCCTGATGCACATAAAAATTCGAAATTCTCTTTAAAATGCTACCCCAAAAGAGCTTCCACGGTATAATATGTGTGTGCGTGTGAGTCTTGCAACACCACTAAATTAAACGTTATATACTGTTAGCGATTCTATAATTACAGGAACCAAAGCTATCTGACAGAAAATTGGATTGTTGCAAATCGATGCTATCAGTGTCCCCGGAACACCTCTTCACAATCTCTTCAAAATGCTACCAAAAATAACTGTCGTGGTATAACGAGATCAGGGTTGAGTTTATAACCCAGTAAAGAGAGTTCAGACAATATGCAAATCTCTGTGTTATTTATAACAATAAAACCCGAAATTAAAATAGAGATATTGGATGTTAATATTGAACCAACAACCATGGTATTTCCCTTTCTTTCAGAGTATTGATATCATATCTAATTTCTGAATTTACATTAAAGACAGGTTGCTCTTTAATCCCAACCCAACCAACAGAGATAACTGCTTGACCAAACTAACAACAGAAACAACCACTAGTCCACCGATACCAGCCAGTCCCCACTCAGAAGGTGTTCTTCCAAATTCTGCAGTATCTTCATCTCTTGCCAATCCCTATCCCCCAGAAGGAGGTCAACATCCGTTCACCTCAAACGCAAATGGGTTTTAATATATGTAACTTTTGCTTCTTTACCTTATTGGACCAATGAAATGAAATAAGAGTTTTATATCCTATATTTATGTACTGATTGGGCAAATGAATTGTAATGTTGTATCCTACTGTTCTGCACCTTATTGGGCTTATGAAATGAAAGTCTCTATAAAATCATATTGCTAAATACAATATATTTCATCGGTTGGTATTTTCACCAACCAAGGACAACCTAAGACTTACCTAAGACTTTCAGTTCCCACTTCTACCCATCACACTATCTCCACTCACAAGTGACAGATTGCGCTGCTACTTTCAAGGCGGTTGGAAATATGAAAATATCAGAAGTTAGGTGTGTTTTGAATTGCCTCCCGACCGATTTAGCTAGTCTAATTTGTCAAGGTAGTTTGCATATTCTAGGCACAGTAGATTCAAGAGGGCATAGTCATAGATTCGTCCTATTTAGCTATCTTCGCCACCCAAAATAATAGTAGAAGGGTTGACCAAGGACTCGCAGGTGAAAAAGATCATGAGCCTAAGCTGATAACTTCTAGAAAAATTGTTGTTTCTTATAATTCCTTTGGGCTGATAGCAGGATTCCTAGTCTAAATCAGAAGATTGATCTAACTCTTTCAATTTAATTGCAAGCACAGCTTAATTGGTGCAGAATCTCGGGATGTTAACGATTATCACGGCATTGTCCCGGAAAAAAAGACACGCATTTTGAATGTCAAAACAACCAAATTATACAAAAGCTGTGGATTATGACAATAAGGCGATTACCATCCGTTCTTATTCCAGATGATGACAATTTCGTTTATTGAAAAATACAGTCTTATGTATGTGAAATAATATACTTACTAAGAAACATTCTGCACCTTTAGAGATTATAACATAAATGTAAGAGGAGATATGGGTTGGGAAAACGAGCTGGAAAGTCCAATAAATGTGTTTTCGAGCAGTGATGGGAAAATATCTACCATTACCATTCGGGTATTGCTTTGGGTTCGAGAAAAAATAAAATTCAAATTCATTATGGGTCAATATCTGGTTCGGGCTTTGTGGAGCTCATGGTTGGAAAAAAGTACAAAATGACCCAAGTCGCCCTGTACGAACTATTGTCTTTGACAAGCATGCAATTACACGAGAGGCAAGTCTGGTACTAGCCGATGGCAGCTAACAGTTTTTGGCACTAATGTCACAGAATAGCGATTTGTGAATAAATTGGATGCTGAATTAAGAACGTGAATGCGTCATTCATTTTAAAGAACATCAATACCGATAGGGCCAGATTATGGTGTCTGTGTTTGGCCGCATCGGCCCACAGGTACAGCGGTCTGTGACTTTCTGAACATTCAGCAAGTTTAAAAGTATCAAAAGGAATTTAAACTTCGCAAAAGGAGAACAATGAACAGTCCATGTCAATGGAACCGTAGAACTGTATTAACTTGAGTTGGCGTTCCATCTAGTACAGTTTGATGATGGAAAGCAGATAAATCGAGCAGAAGAGAACATTTATCTCCTCATATCGCAAAAATAATTTTTCCCCAGAAAGCTAGGTTTTACCCGTCAGTGATGCAGGTCGGGAGAGACTGCCAGTGGTTTGGATGACACAATTGCATACTGTGATGCGGAGACTCTTCATTAGCCAAATCTGGTCCAGTTTCTCATAAGCTCTTATAATTGTCGTAACTATACGGCATTTATTTCAGTCGGTTACAAGAAGGCAAAGCGGCGTTCCGCACCCACCTAACGAGATTAGTTTGCCAGTAAAATTCCATAACACCGTATAAAACTCTCTATCGATTTTCCTCAAATGTTCATTTCTTTTCTCGTCATTATTTCGCTTTCAACCACAAGTTTTCAAGTGTTTGTCGTACCGTGGAACCAAATTAACGTTTTCTAGACCTGCCTGCCAATGACGAGCTCTTCTGGTTTATTCTTAGTTAAAAGGGTTAAATCCCACTTAGGTTTATCGTGAAAGTGTCGACTTGGCTCTAGAACTGCTCTACTGTCCTATTATGTATATGACACGTTCTGTCGGTGTGATAAGAATGTATTGAGTCTACTTACGTCTGTCTTTCCAATCCTCTCTTTTCAGGTCGATCATGTTTACACAAAATGCCCACTTTGAGAACCCCCGAGCTCGACAACAAAGTTCCCTACTAGGCAACGATCCTGTTACTTAAAGATTTTTTTCCAAAGTGTCTCAAGGCCTAAACTAACCTGACAACTCTAGCAATTTCCAGTTCCTCGGACGTGCCGATATCACATACGTATACCACGTGTGAAGAACTGGGTCGTAGGGTTATGCCTAAAACCGAATGGTGTCGGCCATTATAGCTCAATAACCCCTTAATAAACTGCAACTACAGCTTTGGACATGTGATCATATGGTAGATGGCCTTTGAAAGTGACATATATAGCTTATTATCTCTATATCTATCACAGTGTGACTATGAGAGAGAAGATATTGAGACAGATCGAGTTGATACAATGATACTTTTATATCTGTAATTGACACATCTTGCTTTCATCTCACTCAAAATAGTTCCCCTGTTCCCGTGAGTATACGACACTTACTTTCAATAATAGATAACAATAGAGGCGGAAAAACAGGACATTCAATGTTAATACGACAACGGGTGACGTGGAAATGGTTGCGTAGCAGATATTAAACGATAAAGGGGTACGAGTAAATGGATGCATCGCAGACATTAAATGATGCCGTATTAGTCAGTAAGTTTTTACGTGGAAGACAACAAATGATGACGTAAAGGTCAGTTAGTGGCTAATGTCGTAAGTATTTATGATGACGTATTGGCCTGTAAGTGCTTACGTCGTAGACGTGAATGGTATCACAGTGATAATTATACATATAAATTATAGTTTTCAAATGATTGTTATTGTCAGCGGCTAAGATGTACCAATGAACTGAAGAAAATCTCGGAATGTTCAAATCCATGGGCAAATATTACTTATTGTTTGTCAACCCGGCACCTTTTTCGATGAATGCACCTTGGTATATTTATAAGTAAGGCTTTGTGAACAGAGTACAGAAAGGGTGTTGAGAGGACAGCAAAGTAATCTGCGATTATTAAGGTTAAACAATAAACAAACTAAAAATACGTGTACAGTAAATATCCAGAGGGTTTCTAAGTGATCTCGTGCAATATGGTCAGGTTGTTAGGCAATAGCGTGCAGAAGGTTAGAATATACATGAATAATAAATGACGTGGGGTTCTGCAGCGTCTCTGTTAGTTTGAGGTATTCCAATGATAGATATTCGATCGTCACGGCCAATGATCTGGCATTGAATAACTCTCGTCCTACACAGTTCAGTCGCTATCTTGAAATTCAAATGTGAAACTTTCTCTCGTCCCAAAACCCTGAATTCTGTGGATTTTTACTCCAACTTCTCAAGGGTGCAATGTTGATAGTTTTTGACAGGACAATAGCGTTAGGTTGGCTTTCCAATTTCAAATCATTGAAGGATCTATATAACATTCACAGGCTTACGCCATTCTGCAAATTGGTGTGGATCACAATGTTCCTCTTTTTTTTGCTTTCTTGTACACGCCCATTGGACCTGCATCACTGTAAGATGAGCAATTCTTAGATGGGGGGTGCAGGAACAACTCATTGCACTTTGCAACAGTGTTCGGAAACTCTGTTTCTCTTTCAGAGAGTTCCCACAGATATAATGTATGTTGATCATCCAGACTAAAATACAGAAAAGATGCACCAACTGCTGACATCAGTTGAATTGTAAGTAAAATTCATCGCCTGATATCTAACCATATTCACCCCTTGTCTCTGTAATTACCTCGCCTCACTTTGAAACATTCTACATTATTAACTAGCATCCTCACCATCTTTACTCTTTTCTCACGCCTCTATCTAGATGGATACAACGTTTCTATGGTACTCAGACTGACTCTTGTTTTCTAACCTTTCGAAATCTGAGTACCCGACATTTTAACAGTACCCTTCAAAAGCACATTGCTAAGCAAATAAAGGTTTTCTATGCCTACCTCCTCAGGTAGCCTACCCCCAAAATGTTATGTGTTATGAAATATTTCATTAAGGGAACTGACCTCGACGAACTGATATCAAGGTGAACGGACCCAAAAGGAGAACATGAAAATATCAACGAGAGGATCGAATTGTTGAGATTCATTTTAACCCCAGTCACAACCTTCCCGTACCCTTTAAATATCCCAGGTGTATGATGGTCCCTTTCAGGTACATGACCATCTCCAAACCAACGAATCTACCAGATTTGGATTACAAATGCAACCAATAGTCACCCTCATCCATAGATATTAATGTTTCTGTTGGAAACAGAAACATTAATAGGTTCAGCCTGCACGCCTGTGCCTGTGCTTTCGTAACATTACTTAACTGTAATGTTACAACCCAAAAATCCTCATCCCTTACAGCTTATATCCAATAAGAACTGCCTGGCTGTAAGCAATTTATACGGTAACGTTATCTATTTTTTGCACTGTTTAAGGACCTATATCAGTTATTCAAATTGTTTTGGGGTTATTTGCTATGTCGTTAGGCGGACTTTCCCTAGCATAGCCATAAAAACTAACCAGTTTATTGCAAGTTGCCCTCAATACTGTAACGTTATCAATATTTTGTGGTGTTCAGGGACGTAGAATTCTACATCGATTAGAAATTGAGAAAAGTCACGCGATTTTCTCCAATTAATTCGTTAAAATGCCATCCATCAACCTCGCTATTTTTCCCTTCAATAAAAATTGTTAACTGCACTGTTGAAAGGAAATAACGAGAAGGTTAAAGAAACCCGTTCTGGTTTCAGCCGTTCAAATTGATACAGAGTTCTTTTTTACATCCTGTTCAGTGAGCTCTCTTACTTTGGTCATACGTTTAAAGTAATATGTATGTATATTGAAAAGAAAACCCCCATTTCCAACAGTTAAGTAGCTCTTCTGATTGATATACTTCCTCATATGAAGAGTCCATTAGCTGCAACCAATGTTTTGCCAGTGTGTTATTTTGGAATTCGGGTTTCGATTTGCTGTTCTGATCGATAGTAGGCCTACTTTGGGTGTGATTTTTTTTTTAAATCATGCCACTTTTCAACATGTTGTACACGTACAAGTCATTACTATTCCGAGTACACGGTAATCCATTTTCTTACCTACATGTATTGTACTATTCTTCTGTTCTTACATGACGTTGGTCGATGATCGTCAAAGTTGACTCCGTGCAAACAGATATGATTAAAATGCAAATCGGATGTTGTCCCAATATGTGTTTTGTGCAGGTTAATACACGTACTTTACAACTATACATGATCTAACGTAATTTTTATTTAAATCGTGTTCAGTTGTCATAATTGATGCCAATAAAAATCCTATGCAAAATAATTAAATATTACAAGTCAATGTTCAACAATGAATTTCACAGAGTATAATAATGATACCTTTAACTTAACAGAGCATTGGATTGGTTGAATATCACATGATGTAGAACAAGAGATGCATAACAATTTTGTCTGATCATGGATGGCATTTGAAGACAATATTAGACCTCTAGATTTGCATTTTATAAACTATTGTATTTTTTTTTTGTCAGTCCATAGCCTTGTCTGTCAAAGCAGATATTCTATACATCAACATGACTTTCTAGTTGTCCCAAATATTGCTATCCCGTCTTCATGGTGCGTCATTTCAAATATTGCTATCCCGTCTTCATGGTGCGTCATTTCCAAATATTGCTATCCCGTCTTCATGGTGCGTCATTTCCAAATATTGCTATCCCGTCTTCATGGTGCGTCATTTCTAATATTGCTATCCCGTCTTCATGGTGCGTCATTTCAAATATTGCTATCCCATCTTCATGGTGCGTCATTTCAAATATTGCTATCCCGTCTTCATGGTGCGTCATTTCAAATATTGCTATCCCGTCTTCATGGTGCGTCATTTCAGATATTGCTATCCCGTCTTCATGGTGCGTCATTTCAAATATTGCTATCCCGTCTTCATGGTGCGTCATTTCAAATATTGCTATCCCGTCTCCATGGTGCGTCATTTCAGATATTGCTTTCCCGTCTTCATGGTGCGTCATTTCAGATATTGCTATCCCGTCTTCATGGTGCGTCATTTCAAATATTGCTATCCCGTCTTCATGGTGCGTCATTTCAGATATTGCTATCCCGTCTTCATGGTGCGTCATTTCAGATATTGCTCATTTCAAATATTGCTATCCCGTCTTCATGGTGCGTCATTTCTAAATATTGCTATCCCGTCTTCATGGTGCGTCATTTCAAATATTGCTATCCCGTCTTCATGGTGCGTCATTTCAAATATTGCTATCCTGTCTTCATGGTGCGTCATTTCAGATATTGCTATCCTGTCTTCATGGTGCGTCATTTCAGATATTGCTATCCCGTCTTCATGGTGCGTCATTTCAGATATTGCTATCCTGTCTTCATGGTGCGTCATTTCAGATATTGCTATCCCGTCTTCATGGTGCGTCATTTCAGATATTGCTATCCCGTCTTCATGGTGCGTCATTTCAGATATTGCTATCCCGTCTTCATGGTGCGTCATTTCTAAATATTGCTGTTTTCCATCAAGCCAGTCGATGATTGCCCAGGTTTATTTTGTCCAAACTAACGACTTTAATTCTACGATGTACTAACGACGGTCATAAAAGACAGCCAGTGGCTTGACGAGGGTAATCAACCCGCTCATTAATTCCTGGAAAGATCACTGACTGGAAACCATTGATTTTCGAATTTATTAACCACTTATTCTGGTAAATCAATCCGCCATAAAATATAGTTCAAGTCACTCCATCAATAAAACCATTGTTATCTGCTTCGTAGCCTACAAATTACATCACTTCCGGTAACGAGTTATTTCCGCTCTGCAAGAATTATCTCTTTTTGACACGTGATTAGCATGGAACTGTGGGTAATGTTGGCTATAGGATAGTAAAGACATGATGTTATAGGTTGTCTTCGTGAACTAGGTGGTCTGGTTTTACAGTAACGATGGCCTAAAAGCAACATACGTCCCATTGCTCGACCCCTAGTCCCCGGCTTCTTCAAAACATGCACAAAGGCGGGGC